TGAGTATGTTAATAATTTACAGATTCTTTGTTGTATAAGGTATTTTGAAATATAGTACTTATCATAAAAGAGAGTGATGTGAATATCAAATATTTAAAGAAATACTTTGTTCTTATTTTTATTTTTTTTTATTTCCTATTTAAAGAAACAGAAGTGTTTTGAACATTTCGCAGGTATTACGTTCATGTATTGATTAAAATTATATAAGTTTTGGAAAGATGTTTCTAATGTTAATTATTTATCAGGAAGAATTAAAAAATCTGAAAAAATGACGTAGTCTAGTACAATTACTAAAAAAGTACATGTGTACAAAATCTATTTCTAACTGTTATACTTTTTACTATGCACATGACAACTGCATTGAAATATATATGCATTAGATTTCCATAAAATCGTGATTTCGATTTGTTGCATCAAATACTACTGTTTTAGAAATGGTCCAATTTTAATTAACAGATTAATTAATGTACGTACCATGTAGACCTTCGTGACTCACTATAATAGAAACTAGCATTTAGATAAGTGAATTCGATCGGCTAAAGTTATCGAAGATTAACTAAAATTCCGTTCAACTAAACGGAATTCAGATAAACGAAGTTCTACTATATATAATTTACAAAAACAGCGTTGTTTGTTTTTCTCTAATTGCAAAGAAAACAATTTTCTTTTCTAATTCTGTGCAAGACTGCGGGATTCACGTTCTTGTGATTATTTTTATAGATAGCAGTAAGTTCACAGAAATATTCGCTCCTTCAATTGCAAATGAATGGTCTTTAACAACACAAATTCCAAGATTCTTAACTCTAATAAGAATGTTAAATAATTTTTGAAATTCTTTAAGATCTATATCTCTGTAATATAATTCTTTTATTACTAAACTGTAGATTTTTATGCATTTTTTTAACTTTTCACGAATATAATTAAAGAAGCAAACGCTAAATAGAAATTAGTTTCATTCTACTAAATGTTATAATAAATATTTTATTTTTTTTTTATCTTTTTATATCATATGCGACATGTGTATCTTTGCACATTTTATTTTTTAATTATTCATAAATTTATTTATTTATAATTTGGATTAATTGTATAAATATCTTAAAACAATTATTTTAGCTAATAATTTAGTTAATGGAAAAGAAGAAAGAATAAAATCGAAATCGAAAATTTATTAAGTAAATATATACATATAAATTCGGATAATTTATCCTAAAAGTGAAGACTATTGTGCTCATAATAAGGGAAAGATATAAAATATAAAATATTCATTCGAAAGCGTTCGATTCAACAAAAAAATATATTTCGTTAATCTTTCGATAATTACTTCTTAATGTTCCGCGTACAAAAATTATTAACACTTTTACGAGCGATATTGTGTAATAAATTTTCTACATTTTCATGTATTATATGCATTCAAATCGATTTTCCAGACGTGCATAAAAATCTACAGTTTAGTAATAAAATTTACAATAGAATATAACAACGTGCATAGCATCTGCACCTCGTAAAATGTGAGAACAAAGATTTTATGCTATTTTAATATACGACGAATGAAAAATTTTTGAAACAATCGATTTTAATATCAAAAGAAGATACTGAAAAAAGAAATGTATAATAAAAGATGCGAACTGTATTTTCAGGAATTGCGATTTTTAGCCGACAATAGTCATTTATTACCATGTATCAAAGTTATGAGATTTCAAGAAGATATTCTGGCAAAAGTTTCGTTTTTTTTTTTTTTTTTTTTTTTTGCTATTGAACGAAAAATAACTTTTTATTTCGTAGTTGAACAAATTTTTATACCAATAATTTATTCAAATATATCAATAATTTATATCAATATTTCCCTAATTTTTGGTATATTGCCTAAAGTATTTTCTAAATACTCTCTAACTCTTGTGTGTCAACAGGTATTCTTATTAGAACTTATGTTAAATTATTTCTCATTTTATTTGAATAATTTTACTTTATTTGCAACGTTCTATATTAATGCATTGTACAAGTAAGAAATTATTTAAAAATGATTTATCTGAATCTTATCACTGGATGAAGCTATTTTTTCTACGTTATTTCTAAAATGATTTCTATTTATTAATAAATTAGTTGAAATAATTCATTATTTCGAATTATTATTTTTTTTTTATTTTATTCCAAATAAAATGTGCCTAAGCCTATCTGTACGAAATATGCTGAATGAAAACAGAGATCCTATAATAAAGAAAAAGGGGAAACACAAATTATTAAAATGCGTGTATTTTAATAATCAATTCGTATTATTAAATTGTATTCAGATCAGTTTTATTAAAATCTCCTGAGATGTTCAAAAATTGTGAATAATCAAATCAAAGGTTGCATTTTCAAATGTCTCTGAGCTTTCAAATTATTTCTGTTATTATAAAAGATGATTCTAATGTTTTCGTATTTCCATATTTCGAATTATTTGTCCAAGTAATACTTTAATACTTAAGTAACAAAAGTAATTCTAATATCTCTATTATTACAAAAAGTAATTCTTCTTATCGAAAAATTAAATTTCAAAAATTTAATTCATTCTTTTTCAAAAGAATCGAAACGATTTCATTGCCACCTTTACCGAAAATAAAGATTTCTCTACTTTTTAACCACGAATTATTTAATAATTATTTATTTACGTATAAACAACAATTTAGCAATATGTTATAGAGGAAGAAGTCACTATTATTAGAAGATGCTCTTTAATGTGGAGAAAGGTAACCGCGACAACGATTATTTCCTCCTCGTAATTAACTCTGTTGCTGTTGATCGACAAGTCGGAAATTAATCGGATGATAAACAAAGAAACTGCTCTGATTCTCTGTAGCCTGGTTTGAAACATCAATTGCCTTGCTACGATCATCAAGGTTTTATATTTCAATCTTTACATCATTGGACGGAAAATGAATTTCTAACATTTAAGATGTTCATTTAGGAAAATTATGTATATCAAATAAAAATAAATTGTAGTTGTAGTAGGTTTGTTTTTGCATGTCGCAACAATATTCTCAATTAATAAATACTGTCCAAAGTCATTGTCACGTTACAATATATAAGTGGATAAAATAAGTGTAAAATTTCTTATATTAAATACGATAATAAATAATTTAATAAAAAGAAAAAAAGAAAGAAAGTTATGATGAATTATTCGAAGATAATGATCCCTAATTTCTTGCATTGTACTTTTTAACAGATTAACTTTATAACAGATTTTATAACATAATTTACAATGTAACAAATTTTATAATGTAATATAATAGAGATATAAAAATACTAGAATATTTTTTACAATTTTCGTACATTTCGAATATTCGTACAATTTTACAAGTTAGAAATTAAATTGCTAGTATTAATAATATATTTTATTCAATCGTTGTTGCACAATGGTTGTTGTTTTATTAAAGGAGTTCACAGTTATATTACAACTTACACTAATGAACTATTCTATATACAAGGTGTCTCTGAAGTCTTTTTACAATTTCAAAAATTTATTACAAAGGCAATTGATGAGATATCTTCGTCAGATTTGTTCTATGTACTCAGTGGTTATCAAGGTTTTCATCACATTGCAGTTCAGATACCTTGTTGATTAATAAGATATGGTTAAATAAATTACAAAATGATTACGGCTCAAAAGAAGGCACAGAGTGTGTATCATGGTTGTTCGGTCTTACCGAACACAATGAGGGTCAAAATGTGGTGCGACAAATAAATTCATCGAGCCACGGACAATAAACTCCTATCTTGTAACTTTTTCTACGGCAGGGACTTCCCGCGACCGTATTTCATATTTCAAACTGACATTTCCGTATTGTAGTTATATTTGACTCTTAATTCCAAGGCTCGATGAGTTTCTTTATCGCATCGGTCCCCACCATAAACAGGACACTAATAAACCGGCAGGACATGGAAAATAGAATCGTTAGTTCCAAGAAGCAATTGTCAAATTTATTTCTTGGAACTGACCCTGAAAATGTTTGGAAAAACCCACCTTTCCGATCACAGGATCGGAAAGGAAACAAAGAGGGCTCGGATATATAAGAGCCGACTCCGAAACAAAATAGAACAGTCTTATTCTCAAATCAGCAAGAAAACCTCCCGCGTGTCTGCCGGTTCGCGTCTCCAAACCAGTGCATGCCAGGGTAAGAACAATTTAGAGAACAAAAAAAAAAAAAAAAAAATACTCTTGTTTTTTCTAATCTTACGTTTCTAATCTCAGTGCCCAATATATTTCTGTGAGTGAATATTCAAAAAAGTGTTAGTCGTAGGATTCAATTCACACTCTTTAATCAATATCACAAATCAAACTTTACTTTGAACTAGCTGCATTTCATTAACGTTGAAGGCAGCGAGCCACCGATCGGCTCGTACGTCAAAGAAAAGAAAATACGTAGAACTAGATCGGCACGCTACAATGGTTTATTGAAACCAAATCGGATCTGCAGACTCAGCGAAACTTCTAGAACTAGGTATGAAAGAGATCCACAGTCACGTTTATCAATTCGTGCATGGCACAACAAATTTATGGAGACAGGGACAGTGTTCGATAAAGGGAGGGGTGGACGACTAGAACATCTGAGGAAAACATCGATCGTGTAAGAAATCGAGTACCGTCTTGATGTGCTTCGTGCAACTAATGGTGTTCATATAGAGGTGTATTAAATGAGGCAGAAAAAAACTTAAATATATATGTCTCATTTTGTAATAATTTCCACTTATCTGTCTTTTCATTTGCCTTTGTAATAGATTTTCGAAATTGTAAAGTGACTTTATGGACATCCTGCATTTTTTTTTGTGACATTTGAAGAAAGTTCCATCCTTTCTTCTCTTCATCTGATTTTTATAAATGCATAAAAACTTGCAGACCTGAAGTTATTAAGAGTCAAGGTACAATCAGAATTGAAGAAATTCGTAACTAATTTCACAGATATATGTTATCGCACAGGTGATCGCGCGACATACATATAGATATAAACGAAAATTAAAATGAGCCGCCGCAAGCGGCAATGAGTGGCGCTCGTTTATCATTGAACGTTACGAGATGCAGTTACCAATGCAGTTTCACTGTATGCAAAATGTAAAGGAACACTTTTACTGTTACCTAACCGCGTAACTAGCATATATGTACGTGTCGTGGCACACGTACATTGTTATCGGCCTTCTTATTACGATGTTGAAACGCACGATAACTCGGTGACCTCTGGTCAATTAATCTTGAGATTAACATTTTATTCACAGTACGGCGACCAATCCACTAGCGAACCGCAGCTACTTCGATGCGTATCCCACGAAAATTGCATTCAGAACAATGAAAAGTTTGGTGAACGATGTTAAAAATGCCGTTACGGAGTCTCTCTTCGGTATGTCGTTCGCATTCCCTCAGTTGGAGTATCAGGTCTCGCACAAAGTCGTTCTTATGCCGAACGTACGTATACATAACCTTAAATGTTGTATGTCGATTAACATAAAAACTTAAATATATATATATAGACTTATTAATAATTTTAATAAGTTTTTTTTATTTAATTTAATTTTTTATTTTAATTAATTAAACAATCGTATTTTAGCTTGAGGACAGGAAGCATAAGGTATCTTTGATATGCGGCGGCGGAAGTGGGCATGAACCTTTTTCGGCGGGTAAGTTGTTACTTTAATTACCTTGTTTCGATAATTATTTAAGGAAACAACTCGTAAATTTCTATGATCTTCAGATATCTTCTGATCTTGTCAAGGTTAATATCTTAACACTTTACCGACCGGTAGCTTATTAATCGGCTACCGGTCGGTAAACCGTTAAATAGTGTTACTTATCTACGGGACGTAATAACAAAACGATCCTTTTTTTTTTTAATAGTTAGAAACAAATAGAAGTTAGAAGTTGGAAACAAATGTTAGAGAAAGAAGACGAGAGATTCACAGTGGTCTATATATTGGTGATCATATTTTTTTCACAAATGTAACAACGCTTGTGCATTCTGCATTATTTTTTTTAAATAAAAATGCATTTTTTTTTTTTTTTTTTTGTTGCACGCATTTAATGCTTCTACGTAAAAAAGTAACTATAGTAACGTAATGAAAAAATGACTAGTTTCAAAGATATTTGAATTTGAAATTTAAATTTTATAAAACTTTTTTTGAAAGACAAAGACAAAAATATAACGTGCGACTCTTGAATTTGTTTTTCCTCGTCTTTCATCACGAAAAAAATTGAGGATAAAATATTTTTTTAAATATATCAATTGTACCTCACGAGCAAATAAACTTCCTAAGATGGGATTATTCGGTACGCGAGTTTTAAATATTACATTTAAGTACGCGCCAGATTTAATGCGCATGCGCGTCTGATGCGTATTTATTTTGAAACCAGTCAGAACTTCAAAACCTATAAAATACGATTTTTGTTATCGAACTAAGTTGAATTAAATTTCACATGTATATATACATTATTTAAGTATAAAGTACATACATATGTACAAGACTAATAATATCTCGATCATTTAGCTTTTGTAACTGATAATCTAGTCTAAACACTCTTGTGCATCATAATTTTATCGCTCTCAAAATAAATTGCTCAGTAATAATAACATAGATACAAGATATCTATAAAAATAGAGATAGTCATTTAAAATAGTTGTTTAATCATGAAACTGTGAAACTAGGGAGATAAATAAAGTTGAAGTATATGATTAAATTAAAATTCATGAAATCGTTACTTACGGTATTATTATTTTCAATGCAAAAAGATACAAGTAAAAATAATAATATGTATATATATATATATATATATATATGTAATACTTTAATTTTTAGAATTTGTCATTATTTGAAACTTTATTAAATTATTACTGATTATAATTATACTTTATAATTATTACTTATTTGAATTATTACTTATACACTTTATTATAATTATTACTTATTTAAAACTTTATTAAATTATTACTGATTATAATTAACTTTATTATAATTATTACTGATTATACTTATATTATTATTGTTAATAGATTAATCATCTTTAATAATAATTCAATATAATTAATTATAATGTAATATTAATTGTATTTAAATATAATTATTTAATTAATAAATTAATTAATATCATAAAAATAATTAATAAATTAATAAATTTTAATATCATAAAAATAATTAATAAATTAATAAATTTTAAAAATATAAATAAAATATAATGAAATAATAAATAAATTGTATTTAAATATAATTAATAAATTAATAAATTTTAAAAATATAAATAAAATATAATGAAATAATAAATAAATAATAATTAGTGTAATATTAATTGTATTTAAATATAATTATAGTAAAGAATATATAATTTTTTTTCAGGTTACGTTGGAAATGGTATGCTAGCTGCAGCTGTAGTAGGTTCAATATACGCAGCACCACCGTCAGTACACATTTCTTATGCCATTGAACGTGTTTCCCGATATAATAATAGTAAGTTGTACGTTATTACATAATTTCGTTGCAATTACAATTAGATCAAAACAAAGGAAGATCTGAATTTTATTATTCCGTATGATCTTATGTAAATTTCAGCTCACTGGAAGTATATCTAATATTACTGTCTTAATCTCAAATTATATGAATCACTTAGAAGAGATCATCATGATCAATTCCATAAATTAAAATACACAGAATGTGTAAATTTCCAGCGGAATTAATTTTTCTCGAGAGTTTACAATTTTTTATACTATCTTCTTGTAACAAATAAAGTTATGAAAATAAGATTCCCTTTTCGAAACACTGATTTAATCTCTTGATAATTATTATTATATTATTAATTTATTGTCATTATATTTATTATTATTAATTTACTATATTATTATATTTATATTAATATTTATATTATTATATTATTATTATAATGTGAAATTGATAATTTTACAACAAGTGACATAGCTTTAGAGATTTAACTTTAAAGAGGATAAATTTTGAAATATTCCATATATGTAGTAAATAATGTTTTCAGCTGACGGCGTTTTGATGATCGTCCCGAATTACACTGGAGATTGCCTCAATTTTGGAATAGCAATTCAGAAAGCTAGTCAAAACGGTATAAAGGTAAAGGAAAAAGATAACGAATAATGACTAACGATTTACAACATCAGATTTATCTGTGACTGAATCGTAACAACTTTCATAACAACAAATAAAATTCTAAATAATTCTAAATAAACCGTTGTTTATCAATAAACTTTTATGTCATATGAAAAATAAACGATATAATATTTTTTGCATTGTCTTTAAATCAAATATATCGCAATTTTAATTTAAAATTACTAATAATTTGAACGTCAGAAAATCTCTTTCGAATATTTTTATTTCTACAATATACTTTTCTGGTCTGTTTTAACGTTACTATTTATTCTGTTCAACATTTCAGATTGCTGAGGTGATTGTAAATGACGACTGTAGTATACCAAATGAAGAACAAGGTGCTGCTGGCAAACGTGGTTTAACGGGAATAATATTTGTTATAAAAATAGCTGGTGCACTGGCAGAAAAAGGATTACCACTTGAAGATGTCACTAAAATTGCACATGATGTTTTGCAAAACACAGCCACCTACTCGGTTGGATTAACAGCATGTGCGATACCCGGTTAGTAACTGATGATTATTATTATTATTATTAAGCTGTCAATTAAAAATTTCACTCATTTATTCAGAATCTTATGATTATTAGTAAACTGTAGATAAAAATTTTTTGTGAATTTACAATCCCCTAAGGAAATTACTTGTTTCATCTATTAAATATTATAACTTGCACATTATATTTTAAATGCTATATCTTTTGAACAGTACATTACATATATATGTTTTATATGTATATAAAACTATCATCTTTCATTCAATAATTATTTCATTTATTCATGTTATAAAATCATTTTTAAATCGCCTAAAAGTAGATAAAATTTTATACAAAAAAAAGTTGTGAACTTTAAATTATAAAAATTGTTTTTAAATTCACGTTTTATTTTTCTTAACAAAAGTTATTTTTAAACACTTCAAAGTGAATAACCCCCTCCTTGTCTCAATTTTCTATTTGCATTTCTCACTTCTACATATGTATCTAAAATCATGAATCAAATTTATTTATTAAGTGAAATTAAACGTATTGTTAAGTTAAACAATATCTTTAATTAAACAATTAAAATTATCTGTAACTAACAAAATTCACGTGTTAAATGTTTCAGGTGAACCTCTGATGTTCGAGCTTGCAGAAGACGAAATCGAAGTTGGACAAGGAATTCACGGAGAGGCTGGTTACGAAAAGATGAAGTTGAAACCGTGCAGTGAAATAGTTGCATTTATACTGAAACGTTTGCGCGATGCGTTATCCTTGGAGAGTGGAGATTCGGTTGCAGTTATTATTAATAATTTCGGAGCGTTGAGTCAACTAGAGCAAGGGATTGTAGTTCACGACGTGGTGAAACATCTTCGTAAGTAATAATAAAGCCTTTACACGTTTGTGCAATAATCCAACGCGAAAATTTTTATTCTGAATACTGAACATTTCTGAATACTGAATAATTTTTATAGATGATACAATTTTTCAATTGCACGTATATTTTATGATACAAATTGTTACTGTATTAATACTTTACAGATGCTTTGTTGCATAAATCTATTAATAAGCAAATTTCAAAACAATCATGTCTACATAAATTTAACTGAATAAATAAACTTATCAATAAATTTCATTAATCGACTAATTTCATCAATTTCGTTAATGCAGAAAGTATGAACATAGAACCTCTTCGTGTGTACGCTGGGCTATTAATGACATCGTTAAACAGTGCTGGCGTGCATATTACTCTTCTAAAACTACCTGAAAATCAGAAAAGCCTATTCCTTGGTTGTCTGGACGCACCTACCACAGCACCAAAGTGGCCAGGCTGTGTGTACAGCGTTCCTACCGAAAGGTCACGAAAAATTGTTCAGGACAAAGTAATCCTAACGACAAAAAGAATTGGAATAGAAATCAGTGCAGAATTACAGAGCTTGTTGAAGCAATGTTTGAAAAGTGCCTGCGAAAGTATAATTCAACAGGAAAGTCATGTGAATGATCTGGACAGAGGATGCGGAGATGGTGATACAGGATCAACGCTTAAAAGACTTGCCGCTGGTATGTATTAAAAATCACTATTAATAATAATATATTATAATAATAATGTAATAATCACACAAATAATCACAATATAATTAATATAATTAATTCTCTATTAGATGTATATTTAAATAACACAAATTGCACAAATCACAATGTTATAATTAATTCCCTATTAGATGTATATATTAAATAACATCTGAAAAATAAAAATCTGCAAAACTGAATATACAAAAATAGTATGATTCAAAGTAAAATGTTTGCACATTTTTGTTGAAAATTTTCTATTTTCTATTTAAATATATTCGTACAAATAAAAATTTATAGAATCTGCTAGCCTCTTAATTATTATCATTTTCTTACATCAATCTTAACTTAAATTTTCTTTTCTCGTACGTTTGTTTTCAGAAACTCTGGCATATTTAGATAAATTTCAATTTTCGCATCCATCATCTGTATTTCATGAACTGGCTGATATAGCTGAACAAGAAATGGGCGGCGCATCAGGAGCACTCTACTGTTTATTTTTCACTAGTATTAACGCAGAACTGGTCTCAGCCACTGAAAAAGATGGTTGGCCACATATCTGGGCACGTGCATTTCGCAGGGGTTTAAATCATTTAATGAAATATGGAAAAGCGAAGCCAGGAGACAGATCTTTGGTAAGCGTTTTCTTAATATTTATTATTAGATAATGCAGATTTTTATTTTTATTACAACTACTGATTCATTGTGACTTATTGATTCATAAAGTAATATAAAAATAATAAAGTAATAGAAATGATTATTATGATTTATAACTGTTATATCTTATCTCTATTTCAAATCTGTATCTAATTATTATACATATGTCCTTGAATTAATTTTAAGATTGAGCAATATAAATATGGAAGAATAGTTATATATTTCAATTTGCTATGATATTTAAATATTTTTTGTTTTTTATAAGATTGATGCTCTCAATGCAACGTGTGAAACTTTTGAAAACAATTTACACAAACCGTTAGCAGAAATTTGTGATGCAATAAGGATAGCAACTTGGCAAGCATGTGAATCTACAAAGAATATGAAACCTAGGTAAATAATATATGATTCTTCCTTATAAAGAAAAAAAAAAATAAAATTTGACGAAAATCGCTTTAAATTGTCTTTGCATAGTGATCATGAAAGTATATACTAATGATTGTCTGTGAACAAGTTTATTTCAAAATAAACGTATTCTATAAAATAATTAATTTACACTTTTAACTTCTAATTCTTGAGTTTTAATTCTTAATCTCTAATTTTTAATTTACATTACAGGGTAGGACGAGCCAGTTATGTAAAACAAAAACAATATTTCCAGAATGTAGACGCTGGTGCATATGCTGTGGCAGTTTGTGTTGAGACTATTACAAATGTGCTTAAAGATCTCAAACTTTAATATTATGTATTGCTCTACTTTCTTTTGATATTTTTATTAAAGACATAATTTTATATTAATGTATCATGAAATATTGATGTTAAAACTAATTTGTAATTAGTACAATTATTATATATTTTTATTAATATGTTATTATATATTAGTAAATAGTCAATGCAATATAATTATAAGAGAGATTAAATTCTATTAAAAGTACTAACGATACAAATAATGAAAATCTTGCAGAAAAGATCAATAAATGTAAAGCTCATATTTTAAAAGATCAATAGATGAAAAATAAATGGTATTTAGAAATTGAAATTGTAAAACCTGTGTATCAATTATAATTGAGCTTTAAAATTTTGATTTGTGATGTATGTAGTAAAGGATGTATGTACTTAATTGGATAACAATTTTAATTACTGTACACAGATACAACTGATATATCTTTAACATAAAATAATGAAAATATTAGAAATGAAGATACCAAAAGATAGTATTTAATCTCATATCTAAGAAACTGTTAACAACATTAAAAAATTGTATAAATAGTGAGTAGACTATAGATTTTTGGAAAATTCGAAAAATTTACTAAAATATATATTGTATGAAAAAATATATGTATTTACAGTATAGTAATTGTTGTAACATTTAATATACAAATCAATTTTTTACCTACTTTTTGATCAAAGTTTTAATTCTATTTACAAGAATTCATTACATCAACAAATGTACTTAACTGAATTAACTTCATAAAACTTAATTTGTCTAAAATATATTGATAATAATTTTAAATAAATTAACAACTGCCACTTCGCCGTTAATAATTTCTTATAAAATGTTTATTTATATTTTCTGTAAATTTGCGCGTACTATGAATCATAAAATATGTTGGAAGTTAACTTCTATTCGTATTCAGTAATATATTTTGTTATGTTTTATGAGCATGTTTCACGTGCAATCTAATAATAATTTATAGAAAGCAAAAGCACTTCATAACTATGAGATGACAATATCTTTTACTATCTATTCTAACTTTCACATCTTTGAATAGTGCTAGAGCAATCAGAGCGTACAAGATGAACGGATTCCAAATAAATACGTCAGTTCGAATTCAAACTCGATCGGTGATACATCATTTATTACCATCATTTATAATAATTTTCAATTGCCAAGATGTTTAAATTTTCCCATTTATATATTTTTATTATTATTCTTGTTATTACAAACGCTGCAAAAAAGGAACACCAACTTTTTCCAGGTAATTTATTAATTTTTTCTTTCATTCAAAGAATATGTAAATTTGTTATCTTTTCATTTATATTAATTTTTTATCATTCTGTCAATTTGATCGCTAAAGAGCAAATTAAGTTGGAAAAATGAGATACGAAAATAAGAAGTAATTTGTAATGTAAATTAATAAATAATTGTCTTTAAAAATAATGAAATAATAATTGAAGAAAATTAATAATAATTAATAAATTGTCTGTAATGTAAATTTCGGAATAATTATATAATAAATGACGCTAAATGAGCGTATATTAAATATATACTAATCAATTTACAGTATAAGAGTAATATTAATTTGCAGGTGTAATTGAAAGATTGAGAAAAAAATCAGCCAATGAAGAACCCGCAAGAATTATTGCAATAAAAAAACAACTATTCCAGTACGTATAATACCGAAATATATTTATTTATTTATTTACTTCTACGTATTAGTGCTATGCAACAATGAAGCAAAATCCTTGAACTTTCTTATTTTCTTTAAAATTCGTATTAAGATATACAAAACACTATTTTTTTCGGATAGATTTATATAAGTATTGATAAAAATAATAAAAAATATTTTTAATACAAATTTAAGAGATATGAAATCTTTAATCAATGATAAAATATGTTTAGAGAAAAATTAAAAAATAAATAAAAATTATAGAATTCATATCCAAGATACACAATAAAATATGTTTAGAGATATTTTTACGGAACATCAGAAAGATGACAAATTGCAATTCGGCTACGTTTGCGAAAATCCGGTTCAATGGGAACAAAGATTCGAAGAAAAAGACCTTCCGAACAATCGTCATCGTGGAAAGGTATAATAAAAATATTAAATTTGAATTATTGCATAATAATTAAGACATTATGATGTTTATTATTGAGAATTAGCTTTTAAAATAATAAATAATATTTGCGCAGGTCAAATGGGGAAACATAAATGGCGGCTATGGTGAACATTATTGGGACATAAATCATAGATAATCTTAATTCTCCTTATTCTTATTATAATTTTATTTTCATTTCAAGAAAGAGAAAGAATTTAACATAAATTCTTAAAATTTACCATGAAATTTAACCGAGATTATGCGCACTAATAAAAACTTTTTTTTATATTTGATTCAAATTTGAGATATTTTTTAAGCTTGGCAAAAAGTAAGCGAATTGCATACGAACTAATCATTATTATATTTTTGTAAATCCATAATTATAATATAAGTATTAATTCATACACGGTTCATGTATATTTTTCTTCCAAAATAAACATTATTTTGTCCCTCATATCTATGTCTATTTAATTAAAAACTTATACAAATAATTTTCTTAGATCAGAAAAATAAAAAAATCATTGATATCTGATCAATTAAATAGGAAGATTAAAGATCTTATGAATCGACAAAAAAGTATGATAATATACGAGTTTTTATTTCTTTTATTATTGAATATGCGAAAAGATTATTTTATGTAAAAATAATTCATTTATAGGAGAAATCTAATGAAGTATTTAAATTTATTTTTAAAATGCTATTTACGAAGATTCAATCTTGGTAACAATATTATAAGTATACAATAAGAAAGCAGAATATTTATTGCAACAGACGATGCAAATTTTATGTAATAATTAAATAAGAAAATTATTATTACTTCGTTATGTTACAACATAATTAAAAAGATAACTTTACTTGAATGAAAGTGTCTTCTGGTAGGTGTCAAGAGCATTTACTGCTAGTTAACGAAACATTCAATTTACTTCATCGAAATATACAACACAAGGTAAGAATATATACAAGAAATATTTAAAACTTCAAACTAAAAATGCCACTACAATAGCACGTGCATTAATTAATTGTAAGACACAGGCAAGGTATATGAATACTATTCATTGAATAGACCTCACATACAATGTATTTTTTTAACCACGGTTTCAAGGTTCTCGTTCCTGTTGCTAGTGGCGCTGCGGTGCAAAACCTAGTTAAATCGATATGGTAGGATGTGATAAGATACACAAACGAGATATATGAATAGACATTGCATCTTACGGACTTTCGTGGACCGTGACCTGAAATACCGACATACTAAACAATTACTGATTTTTTAGCGCACTCTACGTCTAAACAACGGTGAGTTGGAGAACTAGTGAATCTGTCAGCAACATGATTTTTGAGAACCATTACAATGTTGTCAAATTTTCAATACCGAAATGTAAAATTCATAGATGATTAATCAAGTAAAATGATACAAGCAAAATGTTTAATTATATCTCCAGATTCCAAAACACGAGATTAGTATTTAAAATTATTGCATTTTTTATTATTTATATATATATTATTTATATATATATATATATATATATATATATATGTGCGTATATCAAAAAGAGCTGTATTCGTGTTTTATGAATCCATCGATTAGTTTTACGATAAAATCAATATTTATACGGGATTTTTTATTTATTGAAATATACTTAGAATGGATCTTTTTAATCAAAAAGGAGATATAGAATAGATCTATTGCATTTTATCAAATCATATCTTTTTAAATATCGATCAAAATCTAAAGTCTACAGTCTTCTACAATATTTAAAAATGCATTATATGCTATCATAAAATAATTCATTCTACAATTTTAGAAATGAAAAATCTCTTTAATAATTCAACAAACTCTTTAATTACATAAATATGTACTAAATCGTGATCGCAACCGATTAGTTTATATTATTTGTTATATAATTTGTATCGTAGTAATGCAATTAGTAATTATATCACAAATAACAATGATTGCCCTGGTCTCACCACGTCGAGGTTGCTAAGTACTGAAATCCATCCTTGTTCCATCCACCCTTCTTTTACTTTAAAACAAACTTATTCAATAAAAAAAAAAAAAAAAAAGAAACTCCTTTTGAGATACGATTGTAAAATGTTCACAATTTCTTATCATTGTATAAACGAACAGCAAAAGGAGTTTTAAGTTTAATTTTCATCAATCTCTGTTTTAAATCGTTATATTCCATCACTGATGAAGTACCACCACGTTCAATTCAATGAATAATTTTTGAAATAAATCTGGCAACACTGTCCAAATTTTTTGATTTTTGCTGTACAAAACTTTTCTGAATCGGTACGACAGGATGTGATACGAAAATGGTAACGGGGTCAGCTGATCCCGGAATCAGTTGATAGAAAAAATATATTGTATGCTAGCTCCTATTCGTATACCTTGTCTGTGCCTAAACCTAACCTAACCTAGAAACATCAATTTTAAGTGGGAAATACAAATCAAACAAAGTCATCTTGAAGTTGTGAAATATAATGAATAAATTTCAAACTCTAAGACTTTTAGACTACACAAGACTGTTTAGACTATAATAAGTACAAGATTATAATTAATAATAGATTATAATAAATAAGTTTGCATTATCAAACATGTTTATGACTTAAAATAATGAGTACTGTTTTGAAGAGTGAAAGAAAGTAAATTAAACATAAACTCCAATTATTAAACTAAAATTGAAGATTCACTTAAGCGTTAAAAATCTGGTTTTAATTAGAATCATGATTGCAGTCCTTGGCCACTGAATTACGACTACTTGAAACTTTCAGCATTTTACATGCTTTTAGCACAATTGAAAAGTTTGAAATGGAATTTCAGTTGAATTGAATTTTATTTAAAATTTAATTAGTTTAGCAAATTTTGTTAAAATGAAATATTACATATATGTAAGTATATATTAACTTAACTTGACTTATAATATCGAGTCGTACTTATGATATAAGTTACGATTTCGACTTAAAAGAAAAAGCAAGTTGCAGTACAATGTGTGAGATTTTAATTCGAAGTTTAAATCTAACTTCTTTAAATTGAACATTAATAAGCACAAATTATAAATAACGTTCAATTTTCTTGTGTCAATGTTTCAATCTGTTTTATATCTAAAATAATATTACAGTTACAAATAATACTAAGAAAAAAATTGAAAGGCAAGGAGATAATAATCTCACGTGATATCTTAGAGAAACATCTCGTCAAAAACAACATCATAACGTTCTTATGACAAATCACAATTAAACGTCTAATGCAAATGTATTTGCTTTGGTATTTTCCCAACAAATTAATTTCGAAATGTTACTTTTGTCCAATATTGGAATTAGAATTCTCTGTCCCTGCAGACAATGGTTTTCACGCAAGACGTTTCGCGCAGAGCAGAGAACATCTCTTTTCTCCCCGTATTCATGTTTCTCGAACGCAGTGCCGGCTTCGTCGATGTTTCTCTTATTGAGCACTTCTGCTCGATGCGGTCCAAGTCGAACGCGTGTAGGCGCCCCTGGTTATCCTACTACCGAGGAACAGCTATAAAACTCCTCGATATGGAAAGTTGCACGTGATCCAGCGAAGTCGTACGTATGTACCTACAGAGTCGCCCAATAGACGTCGTGTATCAGCCACTATATGTGCCGGTCTTCTTGTGCACCCAACCATGGGCGCCACTATGCGCGACGTACACGAATTCTCAGATTTAACTACCCCAATACGATTATCGATGGGTATTATAGTAACGAATGAAATGCGAATTTTTTTTTTGGCATTTGTAGGAAATTTTAAATAGTGAAATGAGTGAAAAATATATGTGATATATATTTCTATTGGAAAGTTTGTGTGTTAAGATTTTAAAAGAAATATATAAATTGGTAACGTATTACTTTTGCATAGTATTGAAACTTTAATTAATTGTATTTGAAGATTAATATTTAGGAATGTTCTTAATCATATGTATTGTTGTAAACTAAACTAATTACAATTAAAGTATTATATTACTGCTGTAAATAAATTTTATTATATGCAGTAAATACAGAAATTGTATTTTATTATTCAAAGTATCAATACTAACTTCATTTTCGTGGTATCGAAATTTCTTATTTATAAATATTACTGTAAATATTATATATTATGTGAAGTTATAAATAACTTTTACTTTCGATTAAAATTGTATTTTATTATTCAAAGTATCAATACTAACTTCATTTTCGTGGTATCGAAATTTCTTATTTATAAATATTACTGTAAATATTATATATTATGTGAAGTTATAAATAACTTTTACTTTCGATTTATTTTTATCAGGTTCATGATGCATGAAAATTGAATAAAGTATACATTAAAGTATACATTAATATCATGTAATAAAATAATATTTAGAAGTCGCAGTTAATTTCATTTGGAAAATTGTAATATGTAGATTAATTTAGAATTTTTGAAGAATAAAAGTAACACTTTATAATTGGAAAATTATTATTTAAGAAAGTTTCATCATATAAAGGCATTACTAATGTATGGGTATGTATTAAGCAATTTCTTTTTCTTGCTCTAAATTTTGAAATAAAAATCACTTTTTCTAATGAGGTTATCATATAGTAAAAAAAATAATCAATTATTCATATAATAATTTACATAATTAGAAAAGAGATATAAATAAAAGTTGTAAGTAGTCATAAATATTTTTCCAAGTGATAGTTCTAATTGAAAGAAATAACTTTTATTTATTTCAACTTTTTTCTATCTCTTATAATTTGCGAGTTACAATATAAAATTGAAAAGTAGAAGAATTTTTCAGGGGTCAATTAACTTAAAATGGATTTCAGCAAGGAAATGACATAATGCACAATTATACCCACATGTCTCTAAAGTTTTATAATCTTCTAAATTTCCAGACTGAAGATCTTTCCTTTGTAAGTGAAGATTCGTAGTAAAGTCTAAATTTTATATACATCTTCAATGGTTATTGAAGTTTATCTAATTTAAATACTTTAATCTGCAATTAAATAAATAGTAGTTTATACTGTTATATTATAGTAATTATATTTCTATATTTATAATTAACTATATTACTACAGTTTATAAGTAAATAATAGTGAATAAAAAGGATAAATTTAAGGATTTAAATTAAAAATCTAATAATAGTAAGAATAACAAGAAAATTTCAATAAGGAACAATTCTTTTTAGCGTGAAACTTGTATCAGGGAAACTAAACTGCAAGAAACAAGGAAAGAACAATATAAACAATATAATCATACAATGAAGATTAACAACAAGCGTTTTGTTAATCAAATCTCTCAAAATGTACCAAAATCAATAAAATTTCTATGAAAAATTACGAGTTGATCGTTTGAATTACTTTTGCAGATGTTCCTATAAACTTGCCAGCATCTTCGAACAATCCAAAACCTCATTCTGACTCCGATCGAGAACCATAGTCTTCAATTTTTCTCTCCTGCACGTCGTGAATACATTCTCCCCGGATTGCAATTACATGCGCATTCATGTGTGACAATCCGTACAGTGCTAATTGTTTCGAACCACAAAAGAAACGCGAGAAGCTGTTCTTGCATACCTCCACGTTGAACAGCGAGCGTCGGATTCTAGGTGACGCCTATGGTACCACCACCAACACGTTGACGTCTCACACATGTGGAAGACTGGTCTTGTAAGAGGATGGACATCTCTCGCCTACACGCCTAGCAGATCCGTGCTCTCGGGTGTCGAGGAAATTTGCATCGGATCGGAGTGTGTCTGCCTAGTAACTGGCCGGCTTCGTTGCAACGGACTTCGCCACGGCCGGATGCGAGAAACGGTCCATGCACTACCTTTCTCCGGAGTCTTCTTCTCGCGTTCGTTCGCATCCACGATACAGTGCCATCCGTGCACGCGATGCTAGTACCAGGGATGAGATCAAGTCTAACGTCTACTTATGAGTCTGAGTCAAGTTTCGTTTCATAACTTTCGACTGCTACTTGAAAGTGAAAATATTTCGAAAGTGTCTATGACTGTCAACTTTAACCTGTATATTTATTGTAGTTCAATGTAATGACTTCAATCTGTATATCTGTTGCAGTTCAATTTCATATCTGTCAACTTAATATCGTGGTTCAGTGTGCATACAATGTACACATTTCATCATTCATACGTTCAACGTATGTTTAATGTACATTTATAATGTATAGGTACTTGTAATGTATATTTGATGCTTCAATTGCAACCCAATGCAGGTGTACAATGTGTACACTTCGTCAAGTTCAATGTATATTTAATTTTGCTACATATTTAAATCAATTAATATAATTTAATAACGTATAATTATTATATATTATATATTTTTATATTGTATAATATTATATATTATTATTACTATATAAAAATAGTATTCTGTGCAACTTTCAATAAACAATCGAAATTTAGTTATACAAGTTATACACACTGTCTTCAGATTAATGTGAATTCAATTTAAAGGAAGCGTGATTATTTGACCGAGGCAAGCACTTAATGGCAGCACTCTTTAGATTGCGCCATCGTATCGCGGTGAATGAAGTCACCTTGATAACAGGTGAAAGAGTAAGCCAACGATCCGACGTGTTTTCAATCGTCATGCTTTTACGCTCATGCAGAATCAATGTTTCCTGGAACAGAGAGCAATTGCGTTCCATTTATGCGTGACTGATTCCGCTCGGATCATTCCCTTTAGGAAATTTGCATACACACGTACACAGCTCGCTCTCCTCTCCTCTTTTGCAATTAAACGCGTGTATGATTTCAATTCATTTTGCGATTTTCAAATTAGAACTATCAATTCGTATTTTGTCTTTTTTTATATTCGTATTTTTATTCTTTTTTTTTTTAATTTAAAATTTGTAAATAAAAGTTTGTCTTGCTATTACATTCTCCAGATGCGTCAACGCATAAAATGTGCACAGAATTACATAGATTCTGTTTCACTGAGTATATTTAATTCCAATTTATAATATTTTTTTTCTATCTCTAATTCTTTAGAAGACAGACTTAACTTGTTTCAGTTGTATGAGTCACTTTGTACGTGCAAAAGTTCCAGCAATTTTCGAATATTATCATGGTAATTATTGTAATATATTATTATATAATATATTAATATTATATAATAATATAATACATAATTAATATATAATTAATAATATATAATAATAATTAATATATTATATATCAATAATTATATATTAACATTATATATTACTAATTATATATTATTAATTATATTATACATTACTAATATATAATTAGTTATATATTACTAATTATTATACAATAATTAGTTATATATTACTAATTATATCATACAATAATTAGTTATATATTACTAATTATATTATACAATAATTAGTAATGTATAATATACATTACTAATATATAATTAGTAATGTATATTATATATTACTAATTATATATTACTAGTTATATATTATATATTAATAATTATATATTACTAATTATACATTAATAATTTATATATTATTATATAATATATTAATATAATTAATGTAATAAATATTATTATTGTCGTACATATTAATACACTGTACACATGTAATATATTAATTAGAATATATTACACATTATATTATAATATTATTATAATATATTCATATCAATTATTGACAATGTAATATCATGCATCATATATACAATATATATTGTATGTTATATATGTGTATTATACGAAACTCACATATGAGAAGATCTAACAAAAGGGCAGCGAAATCATTCGCGATTTCGCAACAGTTACCCGCCGAACGACAATGTACGATCGATGGATCGTTTATTAATCATAACCGTGGCAAATGCGCGCGACATTTAAATAGTTCGTTAGAGAGGTCGACGTCCCGGAATAGGTGTTACACGTTATACCCGCCGGACGATATGTTTTCAGCAAAACGTGATCGCGCCCAAACATTCCAATCCCACGCAAATCGCCGTATCCCTAAGTATCTCTGCGCGAAATGCCAAGTGCTCATAGAGACAGCCAAACGTCAGAACAATCTAACGATCGTCTGGCACGATTCGCCGTGATACTGTTCCCAAATAGGTAGAAAGTAGAAAGTTTATTTATAATACCGGAACTACGACGCCGCGACATCGGCATCACTCATACGCGATCATTGACAATAGGCATCAGACGGCGAAATTGCATGCGAAATTGCCAGGTTTCACAAAAACGTGTAGAACTTGCAAAGTCGCCGAGGATTTTGTGCGCTCGTAAATGCTGTTAAGTAATGTTTATTGAACGTCGATTTGAAGCTTGAAACTGAACAAGCGGTGGGTGTTCTGCCAATTGTTTTGTTGCGAAACGTGTAACATGGAATTCGCCACTCGAAATGAAAATAGAACGTTACAAATGAATTTATGTGAGCTTAATATGAGCTACAAATGAATTTATGTGAGCTTAAAAATGAACGCAGGCGAGCTTCGATATCTCGTTTCAGAAATAAATTGTCTCGAATAATAATGCAAAATGAGAAACCAGATTTTGTAAATCTGGTAATAACTTATAGTTTCATTAATTTTAGTTAATTAAAATTATTAATAATATTTTATTTGTTAATATTATCGTTACTAGATGTTTATATTATATTTGTGAAAAGTTTGAGGATAGTAAGCGCAAAAATGTGTAAAATATTCAAAATGGAATGGGTTTTTATATGTATGTTAGATCCATGAGAAATTTTAGCACATAAAATTCTATTATTTAGTCTATATTTAGTATCTAAATATTCAAAATGGAATATAGTGAGTTTTTATATGTATATTAAATCCATGAGAAATTTTAGTATCTAAAACAAAAAAAATCCTCACTATAATTTTCAGTAAGTAAAGTTAGTAAGTAAAATAAATCTCTATTTTTATAAAAGTAGAAAAATGTATGAACATCAACAGTCTAATTCTAAATCTAAAATATAATTAAATACAACAAAGGTCAAATTTTAAAAAGATACGTAAACATAATTAAACAAACGTAAATATAATTGAAGTCTAAATATAATTCAAATCTAACTAATCTAAAATAATCTTTGGTCGATTATTCTTAATAATCATTTTCCACGTTTGCAACCTAAATTTTTCATATGAAAAACAAGTCATCTGATTGATTGATACGATTGATCTTGATTTTTGAGCCATGAGTTTAAGTCACAATTGCGTGAAACTGACAGAAATTCGCGGCAGCGGATAATAACACGGTTACGTGCGTAGCTCGTCATCGATAGAATTACGAACGCGATATTTGCATAACATCCGTATTTCGCGACAGCGATGTCATACATTCTGTAAGAGCGATTAGTCTTATATAATATACGGATAAATTTGGAGGATGATTTACACGAGTAAGTATTTCAAGGAATTAACAAACGCGTGACCTATCGCCGTGTTGATCGTGGGCGTTGCGACGAGATTCGAAGACAGAGAGATTTACACGAATTATGTACATATTCTCGAATTGCCATAAAGAACCGTAGTGGTGTGGTATTGGCATGACACGAGTTGTACAATAAATATTCGACACAAATATAGGATTATTCCATGTTGAAATTTTATTTATTTTCTTCCTTTCTTTTCTTTTTTTTTGAATACAGGATTATTTCATTTCTATTTTTATTAAAAAATTTCATGAGTGGTTATTCCTCAAATAAATTGAAAATTGTTCCTAAAAAAACACTTCAGGATTACTTCATTTTGAAATTCTATTTACTTTTGTTTTACAGTTACATTGAATTAGCAAATTGAAGAAATTAAAAATCGTTCCTAACAAATACAGAACTACTTTGTTTCAATTTCACAGTTCTGTTTATGTTCATTTTCTTGTATTATTTATAATTATTATTACATTTTACAATTCTATTTATTTTTATTAAGAATTTTATATGTTTCTTAATTATACTAAACTTCCTTATCAGGTATGTGCTTCCTTAGTATTTACAGATTATTTAAATAATACATCATGTTGTTACCTTGAAATAATCCTGCGTTCGTTTATTTGAACAAATATATTTTCAACTAACTTACATTTTGAATTTATTTCTACAAATAACTTTCCGGATAGTTCTTACACACCTATTCTACAAAACCACATCTTGTGCTTAGACTATTCATTTCGATGAATTAACTCAGATGAAAGATGATTTACGTGCGCAACAGTTATTTTTTAAAATAAGAATGATTCATTGCTTTAAATTGTTACTTTTTATCTCTATTCCAAATCGAATTTACCCAACCCTACCATGTCATAAATCATGAAAATTTGAAATCGTACAAAACGAAGGGGGAAAACTTCCATATAACGTTGCCATATGTACAGGTTAGCAATGGAAATAACGAATACGTACGTGTATATATATGTAAGTTGCGAGATATTGCAAGAAGTTTAATGCGAACAACGCATAATGCATATCTGTGTAAGATATGCTCGACAGGCTTCCTTTTGCCACAATCGTCATTTTGTTCTTCTTTCTGCATTATCTGAAAGGCCTCCCAGGTCGTGGCTTCCACTATAATGTACTGTAACCAGTATTACAGTGCTCTCCATGGACGTGTTTCTATGCGTCGCGTTGCATTGCGGCGCACGCGCAAGTGTCATTTAGCGCGCGCGCCGCACAGATGCGGCTATTCGACGTGAAACGATAGCAGACTGCAGGATTCTTTCAGAAACAAACGGGATTTTCCATCCTTTTTGCATATCGTTATCTTCCGTTTGTGGTTTTTACTTGAAACGTAATGCCTTTTTTTCGTCTATCTTCGCGTGATACAATGTATATTTACATATATTTAAGAACGAAGTAGATGATTACTTTCATGCGGATTCCTATGAGACGAATTGTAATGACTGTCTTGGCTGTCATTAAGAGTGACGAACTGCTGAATATTTGGAATCACAAGGGAGATAATTGTACAAAAATTTGAAATCACAAGGGAGATAATTGTACAAAAATTTGAAATCACAAGGGAGATAATTGTACAAAAACTGTGTATTAACAGGTACGCGAAATCTCAGTATACATAACCTATAATCAGTGGCTTGAAATCGTAGAAGTGCTGCAACTTCCGAAATATACATGTATACACATAAACATATTATTTAAGCATAAACTTATTATTTTTAATACAAAACTTATTATTTTTTATACAAAATTAGAGAGTTGTATAAAATTGATGATAAAACTAAATATTACAAGTAAATATAAATATATTCATATATCGAGAAAAATTGGGGATCCCACAGTTTCGCAGTGCCT